TTCTTTTAACAAAATATTCAATTGTATTACTAACTAGTATTTTTTTAATATAAAAAATGGTATCTTTTCTTTTCAAGTGTTTTTTCTGAAATTTTTAATACGAGGTATAAAAATATGCTAATCGGAAGAAACGGGGTTTAATAGCTTTTACAAGGCTATACATTTTTTTTTTAATTAGTTCAACATTTTTTGAAATATAAGGCTATTAATTTTCCGAAGATCTGACATTTGATCCCTTATAGCACCTGTATTATAAGTTTATACAAAAAAAAGTTATACACCGTTTAAATAAGAGCAAAAAGCGGGCCACGTCTGTACTTTTTACTTTTTTAGTTGTTTACATACAATAATTAAAAATAATTTTTTACCAAAGGTCCAATTTCGAACTTCGAAGGGCAATATCTCGATTTCGGAGGCTTACTTCGAAAACGGAGAAATTACCTTTCTAATTATGACTCAAAAAGTTGGTTTCGTCCACTACCCAGCCAAGTGCTGTATGTACAGTGTATTAATATGTAAAACTTTTATATTAACATATTTAACTAAAATAAAGAAAAATGGGTTTTTTTCGAAAAGGCGCCCGTTCGATTTGTTTAATTTTGGATTCAAACAGTTTGTAATTTCATCGTCTAACATAATCAGGTCAAAAGACTTATATGCAACAACCTATCATTTACGTTTTATTCAGGCACACCGTGGGATGATGAATCATGTTACTTTAATATATAGCCTTAATTCTTTAGTACTGTGTATTCTCTTTTTTTTCATATTAATTTCTTTGAATATTGGATTCGCTTACCTTAAAAATAAAATCACGTAATATGGTGTATTTTAAGGTCAGATCTGCATAATAATTCCATGGAAAGTTAGCATTTTAAATTCCGAAACGTGCCGCATTGAGACGCAAAAAAAAAGAAGCAATAAAGTAAACCACATTTAACCGTAAATGACGAATTGTGGGCTGTCTCTGATTTGTTATTACCAATGTGTGTGAAAAAAAAAATTGCTTCAAATTTTGGCAAGCTTTATGATTTTTCTATTGCATGTACATTAAGGTGACTCACAAAAAAAGTTGCGGTTTTTTCAGCGAACTTATAAAATTATTGCACTTTAGGATATCCGCCAAAATATTTCGGAAAACATTAAAAACCCTCGAAAAATCCAGTTATTTTAATTCCGTTGATACATTTTTTTTTTTTTTTTAATTTTAATGCACAAGTTTTTAAGCTCAAACTTTTTTATTATCTGAGGAATTTTTTGGAAATAAAATATTTTTAAAAACTATGTATATAAATCTTAATCAGCCTTATCATGAGTTTCATTTTCGCCCGAAATGGTTCAGTTTTCACTTTCGGTTATTCACTACGGGCGAAGGAAAAAAATTCAGGCAAATTTGCTTTCGGGCGAAACTCACGACAAGGCTGAAATATTTAGGTGTAAGTCTTAAAACATAAATATTATAATAATTCCGATAGAAAACTGTACCGATTTCTTGTTTTGTTTTATGGAGAGTGATGCACCTTAATGTGCATATGTATGTACTTACTTTTATTTGATTTTTGATATTTAATGTTTGTACTGATTTTTATTTTATTTTTGATTTTTATTTTGCATTTTGTTTCCTTTTTTGCATTTAAGACCTTGCCTTTTGCACATTTTTCTTTTTGTCCATTATAGCGTGGGTGCAAATCTTATTTTGTTTTTTTTTCTGCTCATTATTTATATATTTTGCGTTTATAATTGCCGTCGCGTCGGAAATTGCCGCCGCTGCCGCCGGCTTATGGTGAAGGTCAACTCTCATCCGATTTGACATTGAAATGGGAAATATGGCACAGCAGTAATAATTTACATTTAAAAATAAAACAAAAATGGGATATATATTTTTAGACTAGTTAGTTTATTGTAAGCATACGACAACAAAGTACGTAAAATTTGTACTTTTTCAACACTGATTATCTAATAGCGCATAAAATTGGTGCGTGTTTCGTTTTGCAGATCTATTTTGTGATAATTCAAAACTTTTTTTATGCACTAAAGGCCACCGATTTGAAGATATGTACCATTTTTTTCTATTTTATAAATATTTTTCGAAGCAAGCAAACAAACTATGTACGTAAACTTAACTTATTTCTGTATTGTTTTTGTGTTCTTTTTAACCCTGTCATTGTTTACAAATAAGCTAAATAGTGCAAATGTATGCAGATTCAAAGCAAATCCAGCAATATTTTCCGCCATACATTTGCACATCATGTTCTAAAAAATACCAGAATTGCATTTTTAATGACACAATTTAAGAACGACAACAACAGCTTGATCAACAGGAACCAACTAGTAAATATTCATCTCAAATTGCGTCACTACGCAGCCATGGCTGCCTTCGAGCAAATCCATGTCAAGAAGCCTATTTTAATGCATCGCGATTGTGTAATAGATATGCATTAATATTTACGGCTGGAAGTTTACGTTAGATTTGCGTAAGCGCATAATTTTACATTCGAAGGATACATTTATATGTAGACATGTATTTACGTACCAGTGTTCGTGAAGTGGTGAATGAATGAATGTTTTTTTTTGTGGAAATCCCAAACGGAAATCAATAAGTAAAACACTTAATGGCATTCTAGTAAAAAGTATTCTAGACAAAAACTCAAAAAGTTCTGCACAAATTTCTTGTTTCGGACACCTACTGCAGGCTTTCCAAGGTTTGTTAAAGGCTAAAAATTAACCGATATATAAAGGGGGCGTGGCACCTCTCATACAAACGCAATTTTTCATAACGCATATGTCTGGAAGTGTTCATGGTAGAGTGCTAAAACGCAATCCTTTGCTCATGCGGAAAAAGGGGGACTATTGGAAAAGGGGGCGTGGCGCCTTCCAAACATACCGAAACTTTTACCTATGTATTTCATACACTCAGCGAAGCCGATCTTTACTAGAGCAACAGAAACCAAATTAACAATTTTTAGAATTTTTGTCTGTCTGTATATTTGTACGCGCATCACTCAAACACCGAGTATTGATATAGGTGTTACTTGAAATATAGAAAAAATATAGAGTTGCCACCTGTTTGAAAATTTCAGTTTAAGCAAATTGATCAGATAAAGAAGAAAACATATTACAATATAGCCGTCAAGAGAAAGAGGTTTAAGAAGCATTATAGCCGAAAATATTTTTTAGGAGGGTTGCCACCTGTTTAAAAAATGGTATTCAAATAAGTTGATAAAATAAATCAAATACTCAAATATGTGTGTAAAATTAAAGATGATTAAGAAAATTTACTGTCGAGAATATTTTTTTAGAAGCGGGTTGTCACCCATTTGAAAAATGTACTTCAGGTTCTTCCATACAAAGTATGTTCGACATTTTTTTTTTTTTGTATGGAGAAAATGAGCAACACCTTCTACAAAAAATGGCCAAAATTCAATGCGATTTTCTAGCAACTTTACACTTGCACTTTGTTATTTGTACTAAAATTGAATAATTGAATGGACTATACAAATGCATACTTACAATTTTTATAATTAGAAAGTATTTTGCACAAAGTTTAGAGATTTGATTTTTATGTTTTTTTGAGCACTTTGAATTTTATTTTTATACAAAAAATTTCGAAAATCAATCAAAATAAAAAAACTTTGCATATGTTGCAAAAAAGCCACTGTGGCAATACTTTTGTTCGTTACTGTACTTATACATGTTTTTTATGTCCTTTTCGATTTTCATAAATTACTCAGAAAATATATTCACGCAGCGATTTAAAATTTTTTGGATCAAAAATAAAGCTAATATTTCCGGCGTTATTTTTTCGCTCTGAAATAATGATTGTATTGTAAATTTTTATTTTTTTTTTAACAAAAATAATCATTATTTTGTGAGTTTTACTTTTTTCGGAAAAAATAATTGCTTCCAGTGGTTTAATCAAAAATAATGATTATTTTCTAGGGACTGTATCGATTATGTCTTTATAATAAAAATAATAATTTAATCTTTAAAATTGGACTTCTATTTTTCCGTCAAATTTAACGGTAATATTATGATTTTTATTTTTTCGATCAAGAATAAACGTTATTTTTGGGTTTTAATCGTTTTTTTACGATCAAATTATTTTCGAACATAATTTTTTAGACCATAAAAGATTTAAATTGGCCATAAAATCGCAATCTCCATAATGGACTAACGACTACAAATGGTTGAGAAAAATAAAAATTCAAAACAACGATTACTTTTGATCGCAAAATAATCACAAAATAATTTGACCGAAAAAATAATAAAAAAAAATAACGATCTTGATAGTGAACGATTATTTTCGGTCCTGTTATTTTCTAAATTTATTTTTTTTATCGAAAATAAAATTATTGTCTTGAGCTATTTTTTACCTCTCAGAAATTAAAATTCATTTTCTAATTTTATTTTTTTATTTTATTTTTGGGCAGATCGAGCAGCTCAAAATGCCACACCGCTTTTCTAATAAATTGTTGATTAAAAAATTACAATTCACAAAATAATCATATTTTTTTCATAGCGAAAAAATAACACTCGAAAAATTTGTTTTATTTTTGATCATAAAAATATAAATCAATAAATAGTTTTTATTTCTGATCAATACAATAAAATCAGAAATTTATTATTATTAGTGAACAGATATTTTAAAATCGTTTAAATAATGAGGGGGTTCACAAGGATTGTTGGGCATCAATATCGTAAGTCCTAAAATTTTTCTGTGTAAAATAGCGATTAAAAAGGTTTTAAAGGACTTCTAACAACACCGAAATTTTTTTGAACTGATAGAAAATATAAAAATTTAAAAAGTCATTGCTCACTAATTTTCATATTCCAACAAAAAATGTATTTCCTCCTAATTTTGTAAGCATTTTCACAGTTTTTTTATAATTTTTCTTTTTGCAACCTAAACAAATGCATTTCATTTAACTAAATCAATTACTATAACGGTAATTAAATTTGCAACAAACACAACACACCCAACCCATTTCAACTCTACTCACCTTCGCCAATATCAATATCCGCATCGCTTTGCTGGAATTTGCCCGGACCAGTGGTGGCGGCCGCTGCTGCAGCTGCTTGATTTGTATCCGATTTAACGCCTCTTACACTGCCATAACCGTAAAAATCGCCAAATAGCATCAAGGCCAATGCTGTGAAGATCATGATACGAAAACGCCAAGCGACATCCATATTTTGTGATGTGGTTGGAGATGTGGTGCCGCTGGTAAGGAGGAGCGTGTAGTCGTTTGCGGAAAGATGAATAGCGAGACGACTGAATGTACAACTATTTAATAGTTATGGTCGTAACCAAGCGAGATGAGACAACAGCAAAGACAATAAAAATCGTTGTAATGCAATTAAGATTTCTTCACACCACACTGTCAATGAATTGTGTTTGCGAATTACCGTTGTAAAGAAATATAATTTTTAATTTTTTTTTTGCGTAAGTTTGTGCTTTAAAACTTTTGCCAAAGCAATTCTGGGTTAATTCGGTTTTTTATTTATATTTTCGCACCGCCTGAATGGTTTTGAGTGTGCAACGCTATCACTCACGTGTGGGCTTATGAATTCGATGAACCACTAAGATATGCACTTGGTTTTAGCAGCGACACACACGATTGTATGCGCGCTCTTGGAAAAATGCAAATGCGAATGTACCTTTCTTAGCGCTAAAAAGGAAAGTTATATTTATTATATTTAAAATTTTATTTATCTATCATGCAGCGCAAGCAGCTTTCGAAGGCGCACAATTTTTACTGCTATTTTTTAATATTAAACAAATTTGCGAATTTTTTTTACAGTTACCGTGATTGAATTTGAACCTTTTATAAAGATTTTTTTTTTTCTTAATTAAAAAAAAATATTCGTTAGCGTGTTATAAATTTTTCTTTCGCGTCTTTGCAGAAATTTTTACTTTTTTAATTGTTGTACCTCAAGTTACGTCTTTTAAATTTTCCAAAAATTTTCATGTGCAATATTTTTCTTAAAACACCTCAACGTCCGCCATGCCCGCCGTTAATTTTCAAACTAAGCTTAAAATCAAGCAAAGCGCCACATTAAAAGCCACTTCACTAAGCTGGTTGCTTGCTGGCTGGCTGTGTTTTTCGGTGGCTCGACACACCACGCTTTGCGGTAAACAATGACACCGAAAAAAACACGCTACTTAGCCAGACACCGACCAAAAACGAGTTACAGTGCTGAGCAAAAGTATTATAAACAAACGCCTAAGCGTGGTGAGCGCGCTGAGTCCAGCTTGGCGCTCGCAGGTGAACGTCAGTGATCGATCGCCACGAAAACAGCTGATTTGTTCAAAGCGCTCATTCAACTAAATTTGAAGTTTATTTGCTTATTCGCTTTATTCTCTGCTGGTCTCCCCTGCTCGGCGACACTCTTTTTCTCTCTCTACTTACCTGTAGCTAAAACTCACTCCCAGTTCACATTTGTATTACCTGCCTTCTCGCCGGCCCATTTACGGGCAGTTTATTATATCATCGCTTCAACTTCTGCTACTTGCTCGTTTATGTTGTCATTCCACTGTTGAGTATTTTTATTTTCGTACTCGCGCCATACAAAGTACAACAAACAATACAGCTGCGACTGTGATTGTAGCAATGCCGGCGTTAGCACACCATATACAGATTACGCTACCAAGCGAACTTGCCTTACCTGTCCACCTAAAAAAAAACGCCGCTTGTCCTCATACCTTCTTACAGTGTGTGTGTGTGTTGCACTGGCATTTCGCACAGTGCATTTTCCAGTATTTATCAACGAAGTACGAGTCACTAAAACTAATAACGAAAACATACAAAAAAAAATCCAGTAAATCGAAAAAAAGGAATTGCAGTTATGCCCTCTATATCTGGCAAGTAGGAGTGGAGAGTGCGCGCATTTCCCTGCTTTTGTGTGCACAACAAAAGATCTATGAATTTTCACAGCATTTTTTTCACACACTTGTCATTCAATTTACATTTTTAAGATCTTCATAAATATGTATGAGAATGTATTTAAAATGGGTTAAAAAGTGATTTTCCCATGTTTTACATTAAAGCTTAAGCTTTTTAAAAGGGGTTTCACGGCGTGAGAAAAGCTATTTTAAAACAAAAGTAGACAGTTAACAGTGTTGCATTTCTAATATAGCCTAGATACATAGGGACTAGATTTGACTAGTCGAAAAGAAACAGTACCGCTTTTTAGGTCTCCTCCGATATCGAGTCATAAACTCAGAACTAGAAGACTCCTACGTCAAAAAGTACGCGGACCCCAAGGAGGTGTGCTCTCACCTCTACTATGGAATATTGCCGTTGACAGCTTGCTTAAAGAGCTAGAAAGAAACAGCGGCAGAGTGGTAGCCTAGGCCGATGATATTGCCATTACGGGCATAGGAAAATAGTTAATAACCCTGACTAGTCTCATACAAGGCCTACTAAACAAACACACGCGATATGCAGCAACGGGTGGTTTGGGGGTAAATTCCACAATATCAGAACTGTTACAATTTACAAGAAAATATATCTGTCCATCTCTCGGAAATATCAACTTAAATGGTGCTACACTGCAAAGAACTGATCAGGTTTAATATCTAGGTCTAATTTTTGGGTAGAAAATTAAATTGGGATCCTAACTTCGATGAACGGGTTCGCAAACCTACAACTGCTGTATACTCCTGCAGCAGAGCTATTGGAAAAAACTGGGTTCTGGAGCCCAGAATTGTAACATTTATCTACACCGCGGTATGGTAGTTTGATGGAATGCTCAGTTTCCTACAAGCGACTACATACCACCCACCCGCACTTCTAAAACCAGGTTGAGGACCCGTCTTCCCTCAAAGCAGGAATGGTCAATGGACAGAGTCAGGAAAAGGGGATCAATCCATGTTCATACTAACAGATTCGAACTCGACAAAAGATTTGGTGGTGGGGTTTATTCGGAACTGGTAGGCATAGCGTTCTGCTTCCGCCTTCTTTACTACTGCAGTGTTTTTCAGGCGAAACTTATGGTTACATGTTTCAAAAGCTGCACCACTGGGTACGACAACAACAACAACTGGTTGCTCAATTCCGCCGATCTCTTAACGAGATGGTTGTGACATTCACCACACACATTGTCTAGGTACCTGAACAGTGCGGCATTCAAGGAAATTGTAAGGCTAACGAACTCGCGCGTTATGGAACGACATTGTTTCGACAAAAAAATAGAGCAGACCACATAATGGTAGTCACAGAAAAATGGGAGGCGGTGAACACTGTAGTCAAAGTAATTTTGACCGAATTGTGAAGAGACGAACAGCTCCGAAAACGACGTCGTATATCTACGTCCAGAGAAATTAACTGAAAACACCCTCAAGGAGCGATGTTTGGCGAGTTACACTAATCGCTGAGAAAAGAAGAATATGTACATTGAAGCATCGCAAGCAGCGTTACGAGATAGGCGGACGGGACTTTGCTGGCGGGAACGAAGGCAGCCGACAAGATTAGTTTAAGGTGGTCGCCACTGTGTCCACAATCCGTTAGGGAGACTCACCTCGGCCAATTTTTCCCACTGTGATGCCACTATTCAAAATAGCATGTCTTGAACTTGCCAGAGCGGGACAGTGGCAGAGAAAGTGCTATACACTCTCCACCAATTCGCCTAGCATGCGTTCCCATTAGGAAGTGTCTTGTAATAATACCCGCAACTATGCTTATTATGGGACGATCGATTTGTATAAGAGTTTTGGACAGGGACCGAACATAACAATTATTGATGAAAACTGTCATGGAAAAATTCACTATGAAGGAAATGTTTTACAACTAAGCGATACATACTAATTGCTTCCTTATTTCACCAAGATTCAAATTTGAAAAAAGCAAAAATTCGTTTGCAATTTATGTATATGCAAAATTAAAAAAAATAACAATTATTTTTGATTTTTATATTATAGGTCTTAGATAACATTTATTGAAGACTTTTATTTATAAAAGTCATCAATAAAAATCAGTCAGTGACTTTTACTTTTAAAAGTGATCAATATAAATCAGTCACCGACTTTTATTTTTTATATCATTCGCATAAAAGTCATTACCATTTTTCGCAGTTAAGAAGGTGGTGGGAAACAAAAGTTTACTACGACTTATACCAATGACTTTTATAAGTATGACTTAAAAAATAAAGGTCAGTGACTGATTTTTATTTATGACTTTTATAAATAAATGTCTTCGATTTCATAATTAAAAGTCTTCGATAACTGTTATCTGAGACATATAATTTAAAAATAAAAATTATAGGTTATTTGCAATTAATTAGATAAAAATGAAAAATTGTTATTTTGGATTTATAAAAAAATTTTTGAAATTACGGTTATTTAAGGAGCAATTAAATAGAAGTAAAAATATAATTGTTAAAAAGCGATTTTTTTTGAATAAAAGTTGTACCTGTTACGGTCCCTGGTTTAGGATGTTTTCTCATTAATGTATGGCCGGATCTGTGATCTGATGAAAAGGATGGGTCGTACAACCGGCGTGTACATCCGGAGGCACCCTAATAGGATGTGGTGTTTTTGCGAAGACAGAGGAACGGAACTGGAAACCACCGCGATGACGAAATACTTGACGGTAGTACCGGGAGGTGAATGGTACATGACGGTAGGAGGTTTACATTGGTTAAAGTCCCACACTGACCGGTTAGACTTTCGATACTGCGGCCATCATGGCTTGAGAATCGCTCGCGGTACGAACGAATCTGTTCGCCAAATGCTTGACATTTCTCTCAATTGCCTAGGATTGCTTCCAAATCAGACTGATTAGCTTTCCGAATTGGCTAGGCAGAGCTTCCTGAAGTTATCTCCAGCAAAGGTATAGGAGTTCCATTGGTAACATATGGACTGCTCCTTGTCAGATGGACTTATAGTCGGCTCAGCAAGCGATGGGCGAAACCCCTGATATACAAAGTTGCAAAATCGTGCTGGCCGGTAGTCTACCGTAAGCGATCAAAGGAGCTACGACAGCTGGCTAAGAACTAACTCTCGGTCCATTATGGTTGATACAGAACCCCATTGTCAAAGGTGACGTTGTATAATCATTCTCAGCTGCATTGATTTCGCAAGGCAAACGGTTTAAACAACTCGGCTCGTATGTCATCAATAATCCCGAGCAACTTTGTGAAGGCGACATCAGCTGCATGTGGAACCTTATTTTGTAATTTCAAAATTTTAA